ATGGTGTGGGATTATAATCATAACATGTACTGTCGGAATGATCTGGTATTGTAAAATAGTTTTTTTATATGTTGCACGCCGGGTGAAAAGTCAGTCGTGTAACATCGACGGTCGCTCCTGTAGGTATATAGTAATTGATCGTTGATGCATTGTCGTGATTTATTGCATTGTAGTGATTCATTGTTTGATTTCGTTTGATGCATTGTGTGATTTATTGTATTATTCGTATGTGACTTATGACGTAATGACGTAGTATTTGATATTGTAATCGCCATTAGTATTTAAGGGGAATAGTTTTTTTCCAGAAAAGGTAATTACTGTTTTTTCTGCTAACCTGACTTTGCCTGTTTTTTTTCGCTCCGCCTTGCCCGACCCTCGAAAATGATCTTGCAATGGCATACGACGACAGTCATCGTCTTTAACTGATTTTTAGGTAGCTTATGGCCTGTCGTAGTGTTACAAATCAGAGCAAAAAATGTAACCGATTAGTTAGTTGAAAATTTTTTAAAATCGATTATAAATCGATTATTGCTAACTAATCAATTAATCGATTAGTTGATTAATCGATTAACCGATTAGTTGTTTAGTTGACCTAATTTATGAATATAAATCTGATAAAAATTTTATTAAAAAGCTAATTAATACAAAAGCAACTAGTCAATTAATCGATTAATAGTTAATCGATTAATCGATTAGTTGGTTAATCGATTAATAGTTGGGTCAAAATTATTAATCGATTAGTTGTCAACTCAGCCAACTAAACGATTAATCGATTTTCGATTCATATCACTAGCCCGTCGGATGACAGTAATAGTTTGGATTTTGAAATAGAAGCGGCCTGTCAGGACAACAGTCACAACAGTTTTCTTGATATTTGTATATAGAAGTGACCTGTCGGATAGTCACAGAGAAAATTTTATATTGTATACAGGAGTGTCTGGTTTATTTTTCATCTCACTTTGTAGTGACAATAGATCATTAGGTTTAGGCCAGTCGATCGATACTTTCGAATTCTGCATTATTAGTACCGTATTGTCGCGAAATAACCCACTTGCATTTTATTTTGAGTATATGCTCGCTATTTAGAGTACACACATGGGCATTATTTTGAGACGAAGATAAAATTTCTTCTAAACTATTATATCTAATTACTTATTATGCGCATGGATATTATTTTGAAACCATGTATGCTATTTTTAGGGACGCAATTTTATAAATAACGCCCATACTAGTGATGTAGTAGAATCACCCAATGATTGTCGTAACTATAGTAAGTAATATATTAAGTTACGGCATTATAGTCGTGAATTACTATATCAGATATTATTACTATAGCTACGGCAAGTTACGATAATCATTGGGACGGTTCTACTGCATCACTAGCCCATACCCGTTATTTTGCTACAATAAAGTAATATTAAACTAAATGGTTAAAAAAAAAGAAAAAATATTGTAAATATTCTAAGAAGTTTACTTAATGAAGGTTTATTACAAACTTAAAATTAAAATTTCTAAATTCATATTTTACAATATAAACCCCAAACTTTAAAATATATTAATACTTTTTTACAACCTTTTATTTTTCTAAGTAAATGGCCTAAGTGAATCATTTATGAGGTCTGACTATATGAAATTAAACTTAAAAATAATTTATATATTATTTGTACAATTTATATACGGTCTAGCAACAATAGCCAGCTCTCATTTAGGGTTAGATTCATAGTTAGGATAGTAGAAAAATCATATGGCTATAAAATTGCTCAAGGAACCTTTTTTATTAAAGACCAAAAGTTAATTCTTAGACATAACTTTTAGTTATTTAAAGGGACCTGATATTTCCACACCCTTTTTGATATCTCCACACTCCATATTGATCACTCTTTTTTAAAATTTCGATCGAAGGTATTTCAACAACTATATAACCAAATTCGATGAATTTTTTTAATTCATCGAAATTGGTTGGATAATTGTTGAGATACTTTCGATCAAAGTCAAAAAAATTTTGCCACAGATAATATTTTGTTGGACGTTTACATTTTTTAATGCTGCAATCGAAGATATTTTGGTAATCATCCAACCAAATCTAATAAAATTTTTTTTTTATCTGAATTCATAAAAAAAAAAAATTCATCAAATTTAGTTTGATAATTGTCAAGATACCTTCGATCAAAGTCAAGAAAAATTTAGCACAGCAAATATTTAAATAGGATTTTGGAACTTCGATCGAAGATATCTCGGCAGCCACATAACCAAATTTGATTAACTTTTTTTATTTAGATTCTACGGATCTGTAGAACTCAAATAAAAGCTTTTGTCGAGTTTGATTGGATGGTAGTCACGACACCCTCGATCAAATCATAAACAATTTTGTCTCGACTAATATTTTAAAACTTTGATCGAAGGTATTTCAACATCCATCCAACCAAATCTGATCAATTTTTTTTCATTTTAATTCTAAAGTTCTGTAGAATTAAAATAAATAAAAAAATTCATCGATTTTGTTTAGATAGTTGTTGAAATATCTTCGATCAAAGTTTTTTAAAAAAGTGATCTGCATGGGGGTGTGGAAATATCAGGTCTCTATACAATGGGAGAGCAATATATTGGTATGCCAGATTTAGCTTCGATGTTATATTATGCGTAGATAAATGTCACACCTTAACAGTATTCATAATATAACTTATGCATAAATAAAAATTACGTACGTAGAATTAAGGAAAGTGGTGCCATTTATTATTATTATTCAGGGTTAATTATCGGAGATAAATATTTTCTTTAACTTTATTAGAGTTATTTATATATTCAAGTTTATCTACATCTATTGTCGATCAATACATGGAGATGTTGAAAAGCTCATGGGATTTGGGATTGGTACGTACGTTATACTTGCCGCCCAAATCCCAAACTATTATTGTTTGGGTTTGTCCATGCCCAAATCCCAAACTCAAGCCCAAACTAAAATCTCAAAACCTTTATTAATAATCTTCATTTAAACAAATGATATATATTTATTATAACTATATATAATATATTTACAAAGTATTAAGATTATCTTGTTGATTTAATTTTTTATAAAAGCGATTTGTTTTTTTGGGGGTTTGGGATTTGTCCGGGTTTTGCCAGCAAGTATAACGTACGTACATGGACCAGTGTTTCTACCTCCCCCAAAGTCCGAAACGTTTCGGCCCTGGAGTTTCGGTATCGCCCGAAATCCGAAACCTCCGAAATGGCCGAAACCCTCCGAAACTGGACAAATCCAAATCCCAAATCTCGTCCCAAATCCACGCACGTGATGACTATTCAATAAAATCACGAATGACAATGTTAACTCGGAAATTGTCACTCATATATAAAATAGCTAATAATGAAGCTACTCTAAACTAGTTGAGGAATATTCGGATTTCTATTTTTTTTGACTAGATCTGGCCTCTTATTTAGAAATATGCATATTCGTTATAATATATGTCGCGGGTGAAGCTGGAAATTTCAATTATTTTAATATGAAATTTTCAAAAAAATTTTGGGCCTTTTGTTTGGGTTTTTTTAGGGTTAGGTTAGGGTTTAGGGGTAGTTTTAATAAAATAGTATAAGTGGATTTTGGTAGGGTTTATATTTTTAAAAATCAAGGTCCCTAATTTCCAGCTTCAGCCGCGACAATATATTTTTTCGTATCCGCTTTTTTAAAATTTGGGATTTTGGTTTTGGAATGGGATTTGGGATGAAATTTGGAATTTGGCCAGAGTTTGGGATTATGACAGCCCAGATTGGATTTTTCCAGTTTGAGATTTGGGTTTGGGTTAGATTTTGAGGATTTTTAGCTTTGTCAACGTATATATATATATATTTAGGGGACTGATACATATACCATTATTTTTGTTATTCGTACCCTGAACTTAATCATCGCATCGTATGATGTCGGGTTCCAAAATTCAAACTCCTATTTTGATTAGTAAGAATACTTACTAATCGAAAGCTGTGTTTGAATTTTGGAGCTCCGACATCATACGATGTGATAATTAGCAAAAATTACGCATTGAGGGTACGAATAATAAAAATAAAGGTATGAATAACAATTTCCTATATATATATATATTGGTTTTTTTTTAGGTACGTTAGCGTTTATGAACAGAAATTTTTTAAAAAATTGCACATTATTCGAACAAAGGCCTCTCAGGTTAGTTGATGATATTATTTAAATACATAATTGTACTATACCAATATTTGAAAAATACAACTTAAAAAGACATGTCAATTAATCATTCTGTCATATGTTAATGTTTTTAAGAATGTATAATTATAGTCGGAAATAGAAGATTTCAATTTATCTAAGTGATTACCGATACCTTTAATTTTAAGTGTGTTGATTCTATTTCCTTTTCCTGCAGTATCTAAATTTTTATGGATTCTGGAAAGTGTCCTTCTTTGATTATCCCAAAATAGTTTAAATCTACTAAGTGATACAGAAATCTCTGCTAACGCTTGAATAAGGATTGATAAATCTTTGATTAATTCAGTATTTTCATCTTTTGATTCTTGTATGTTTTTGATTGATTCATTTGCATTATTGACTAAATTTAATCGTTTTGTTGCATTTACACCTATTTTAAAAATAATGTGTTAGATTATGCTTACGATATACTTTATGCAAAACTAATATAACTTACTTCTGTAACAATCTTCAAATAAAAACATAATTGTCGAAAACATTACAACTTGTGGTGATATAGCCGCTCCCAAACCAGATAATCCAAATTTAAGGACTCTTTCCCAGTGTTTTGGTTTAATTTTATCATATAATTTCATCTCTTTTTCTTTTTCATTTTCAGCGACTTTCAATTCAACTACTAGCTTATCATTTGTCTTTTTGGTATCATTCATATAAGGTTTAAAATCTTCATTAACATCCAAAAATCCCTCGAGAATTTTTCTAATTTGTTCAAATAAAGCCTGTGAAAGCCCTTCATGACGTTTAGTTTCATCAGATAATGATTTTATCTCTTCAATAAAATCCTCCTTGTGAATTGTTTTATCATCAACAAGATCTACGACCCCTTTCAGGTCCCTAATATAACCTGATAATTCGGTACAGTATTCAACAGACTTCTCAACAAAGTCTCGAAACTCCAAACGAAATTTAGTGACTTTCTCTATTTGATCTTTAATCACATTATCGTTAGTCATCATTTGTATACAATCTGAAAATTTTTTTGTGCAATTTATCATATTATTATTTTTCAAGGAAGATATTTCGTGGAAATCGTCGGACTCGATCATTTCGACGAAGGTTTTGTGGAAATTGTCAGACTCGCTCATTTTTTTAGTTTCGTGAAACTTGTCGAGCTCGCTCATTTCTTTAATTTTTTAAGGTTAATTATGTGATTCAGAATTTATTTCAATATTCGTTTATAAAATTTATAGAAAATTAACAATATACCATACTTTTAATTATAATCTGTTTGATGATGTAACGTCTGAAATTAGATGAATTATTTACTACTATGCATGAATTCCAACTTAAAAAATGACAAAGGCATGATACCGTACTTGCAGTGCAGAAATCTCAATTACTTTATATAGAATAAATGATAACACGTTGAAGATATACCGGATTTGTCATTCTCTGTAGCAACTTATTTCAGCGTTTACATGTGATAAAGAATTTCTATAAAGTATTTTATTCTTTACTTATTATTTCTATGTAAGGAGATTGAGAAAACTAAATTCTTTGTACTCGGCAGTACGCATAGAATAATTATTATTAAGTACTCATTATTCTTAGTGTAATGTTTCTATGCAAAGAGATTGAGTGTTCTAAATCCTTAGACTAATAATTTAAAAAATTTATGTTCAATGTGCTACTATGTAGTTTATGTATTATTTCTACGTAGAGAGATTGAGATTTTTAAATTTCTCACGCTGTACGTATGTACATATGTACAATACTTGGAATTGGCGTGGCGTGCATTGATAATGTTAGATGGACAATACTTTTCTTTTCACCGAGAAATCAATGATAAGTGTCGCGGTGTTTCTTAATACCCCATGTACTTGTAGCGGCACCCATGTGATTAGTGATCGGGTACGTGATCGATCGGGGATATGCATGATCTCCAATTTACTAAAAATAGAGTTGCATAAACAATGTAGTAATTAGAAGCGATTAGTATCGCATGAACAATGTAGCAATCAATAGCGATTAGTAATTAATATGTGATTGCATGAATAATGTAGTAATAAAATATGTATTAGTAATAATATATAAGGCATCGATCCAAATAGGGGAGATGCCTAGCTTTAGCTTTCGCTTCGTGAATAAGCTTCGTTCTTAGTGAATAAACATTGTATCTGTGTGAATACATTGCTGGTGGTAGTATCTGGTACGATACTCCAGTCATCGTAATTGCCAAGCGAGTAAAGTTTATAGTAAAGACCCACGAATACACGTAGTGTTAAGGGTTCTACCCTGAAATCCCGAAAGCTATTTTCCCGAAAGGACATAATACTGACTAAATTGGCCAGCATTATAACTAATGCTGGCTAACTTTATCGATATTATGTCTTTTTCGGGAATCTGTCTTTCGGGATTTTAAAGTAGAACCAGTGTTAAGTAACTACGTGACAATAAGAATTCTCTGTAATCAGTGTAGGTCTTAATTACTTTGGATAATCTCAAAAAGAAAAAAAATGAAATACGCTATCCGGTTAATCGAGTTCTAGATCGCATTACAGAAAATACAAAAAATAATTATTATACTAATTAAAATTATAAAATTTCTTACGCCGTACGTGTATGTACTTGGAATTGGCGTGCATTGGTAATTTTAGGTGGACAAATACTTTTCTTTTTTTCTCAAGAAATCAATGATAAAATTTTCTGTAATCGGTGTAGGTCTTAATCACTTTAGGTAATCTCAAAAAGAAGTAAATATGTCTCAATCAAGTTAATCAAGTTATGGATCGCATTACATAAATTTCCCACACCGTACGCATGTACGTACGCACGCACTTAGAATTGGCGTGCATTAGTAATGTTAGATGGACAATACTATTCTTTTTCTCTCGAGAAAATTATGATAAGAATTCTCTGTAATTAGTGTAGGTCTTAATCACTTTAGGTAATCTCAAAAGGAAGTAAACTATCTCAATCAAGTTAATCAAGTCATGAAAAAAACAATTAAATACTAAAAATCAAGATCGATAAGGATTTATTTAGACTTGAAGCAAATAAACTTATATATATTTCCGTGGGAAATTTCACTCGTAGCGGTAGGAATAGAGGTCTTACCCGGGTCAGAAAATACCGACCCGGGCGGGTCAGGTATTGACCCGGGTTATAACCCGGGTCAACGGGTCAGACGAAAATTCACAAAATTTTTGAAGTTAATTCTTAAAAGTTAATGTAACGACTCTTAATTAGAGCTGTTAGTATAGAGAGCAGCCTGTGCTCCAAATATTTAAACTGGAGTTTTTTGGATTTTTGTATTGAAAGTTTTTCAATCTTGCTCGTGATTTGAGTTCGTTATTTACTACTTCGGGAAATAAGAAGCTGACCCGCACAGGTCAGGCGACACGGGTAAAAGCTTTACTATATAGTAAATTTTATGCTTTCTACTCATATAGTTATATTAGTAAATTGTGTAATATAGCATTTTAGTAGGTTTTTAATTCCGACCCGTTTGACCGGGTTGGAGCAATTTCGACCCGTGAACCGTACGGGTCACTCGACCCGAGTAATACCTCTAGGCAGGGAAATATAAAACTTCAATCCCATTATATAAACAATTATATAGAGATAATGTATAAACTAGTATCATAAAATTAAATTTCACAGATTATCAATCTCGATATAGTAATACGCCATGAATAAAAATGTACACAATGAAAATAAGTATGGCAAATTATCTTTTTATTCTATATTATATGATTGGAAATTTTAGATTCCTTACATCGTACCTCATTTATTCCAATTTTCGAAATTTTTGCCGATTTATACACAATTCTTTTCACGCTTATTCAAATATTAAATCTTTACACAAATGCAACATTTGAAAGACAAAGATGAAAAAGAGATTGCTTTACATTCAAATTGTAAAGATCCTAAATTCGAGTTATGCAAAACAGCCTTGAAAAATATCTTATCTCCCACAAATCAACTGAACAAAGCGATATTTGAAGTCTTGAAAGCTTTACAAAAATGTAAAGTACTCGAAATTACGAACATACACCAAATAACTGATAATTTTATCAAGTTAAGCGAAGGCTTGTCTTCTGAACTTTATGAAATTTCTTCATTCATTAGTGATATTATTCAATATTTTGAGATACTTTCAAATGATACAGCTAAGGCTAATGATTTGATTGATTTGTTGGAAACGTCACTTAGTGAGCCTAATGAAAGGATGAGATGTGTCAAGGGTCTTGAAAATGATTTAAATAATATTGCTAATGATCTTGAATTTAAGGATGAAGTTCTGAATAGTAAATCATGCATAGTATTTCATATATTATATAACCCAAATATAGTTAATAGAATTGCAATTTATGAAGGAATTAAACCGATTAAAATTCAATTCAAACTGCTTACTAGTTTTTGGAAAACCCACAATTATCTTATTGATAACTTGGTTAAATTGCTATATGATACAAAAAAATCATCTTGTATGTTGAAATTTTTAATGGATGATTTTGAGATGATAAGCCTATGGGAAAAAGTGAAAGTCAAATGTGAGGCCGATTATGGTAGAGCAATGACGCTATTGTAAACGGTCCATTTCATAATACAGGTGAAAAAGTGATAGTCAAATGTGAGGCTGATTATGATAGAGCAAATGGTTATACCACAAAATCTCGTAAGACTGATTCCCAAAAGGACCTAATACCAATAAAGTTAGCCGGCATTGGTTATAATTCTGGCCAATCTAATCGTCTTTTGGAAAAATGGCTTTCAGGATTTTGTAGTAGAGCCAGAATAAATGACGCTATTGTAAATGGTCCATTTCATAATACAGGTAAAAAAATTCATTCTATAAATTTTTTTTTTTTTTTTTTTTTAACTAGTAATTTTTAAAATGAATTGTACACGCATTATAGTCACCGATAAATCAAGCGACGCTGGTAAATAAAAATATATTGATAGTAGTGCACTGACCAAAGTACCCTGGTGCAAAACACGAGATCTCTATTAAGTTTTTTTAAAATTTTTAAGCTGCTTATTGTAAATGCGGAATATGTGTATGCTTGAAATTTTTTTTTTCTTGCGACACAGACCCGCTATAGCATAATATACCCGGGTCCTTTGTAAGTTTTTTGATGGGTAGATTGTATTGTACCCCGGGTACTTTGGTCAGTGCACTACGGTATACATATATATGCATTAATTATAAATTTTAATATCTAATAATTAAATTCTCGTTAACAGGTGTTGGCCCGAGTAATATTGATTATGGTCTTGTG